ACACACCTACACACCTACACACCTACACACCTACACACCTACACACCTACACACCTACATCCACCCACCCACACACAATCATACACACATAATCACACACACACAATCACACACACACACACACAACACACATACACACAATCGCACACACACAATCACATACACATATATAACCACAGAAGCACATATACATCCACACATACAAAACGAATACACTGGATAGTATATTTTGATATTCTCACTATTCATACCTTCGTAATATGAATGAAATATGTAAGAGATAACCTTTTCATTGTTGAGATAGCATTTTAAGTTTAATTAGAGAGGCAGTTATATTTAATGTAGCTAACTGTCACTTCGTGTTCAGGGTTTTTATGTGTAGTTATGGTGCATAGATAATGCTAAAGACTCAAGTAGTGAATTAATTTTTATTAATTTTTATTTATTTTTTTTGTACCGACGCAGAGAAGCTTTTCCGTCTAATATTTTTACATAAGGAAATATGTAGCTTAGTAGGGTTTCCAGATTTTGCCAAGAAAAGAAGTTATTTATCCTTCTGTAGAGTAATTTCCAGCATATCTGTACCAAATTGATTATACAGGGATGGATAACACTTGAGTTGCATGTTATGTGTAATAGCTCCCGTTCCCCTGCCCTCCCACAACGCCAAACAACCCTTTTTGGTAGTCTTACTTACCCTTTAAAAAAAAACAAAAAAACAATAAACAATGCAACTTCTTCAGCAATTTTATAACACCTTTATAAGTACTTTTTTTTTTTTTTTTTTAAATAGCACCTGCTGTTAGTATTCTTCTTATAAGTATTTCTTGTGCTGGCTCAGTCTAGATAACTATTAAGATCTGTATGATTTTTCAGTGTTGTGTGTATTTTGCTTGAAGTGTCAGTGTTCATTTCTCATAGATTTTAAGAATGACACAATCTTAAAGCAAAATTCATCATGAAGTGAAAATGAAATACATACTGTTATTCAGTCACATTATTGTTCTGCAAAGTTCCCAGCCAGCATCTTGCCAATTGCTACATACCCTAAGCTTGCTGTGCACCATTCTGTTGCAACAGGGAGCATGCTGCCCTACAACCCCAGTGAAGAGGACCTAGTGTAACTCAGGCCTTGTAATCGTACTGGTGCTGTGAGGTTGGTTATCTCAGGAAGAAAGCTTTTGATTAGCATGCATTAGCTCACCTTTTGGAAAGAGTAGTGAGTTGTTTGTGCAGGGTAATTTGCACACACTATTGCTTTCTATGTATGGTACTTAGATGCAGGCATTTCTGTAGCAGATGTTTTCATCATTTTCTTTTTCTTTATTACCTCCATAATTTTTCCCCCTTAAATAGGAATTTTAGACCATGTAGTATAGTGAATAGCATAAGTAAGTTATGTATGTAGTATATGTATATAATGTAAGATTTTGATTATGATTATAATATCCTAATGTTATTAGGACATGATCATGCTCTGTGGGATGTCACGTCTAAATATTTCTGCTCTGTAGATTCCCTATTGTCATTGGTATTTTGTTGGGTACTTGTTTCTGTCATTTTTGTGGAAAAAATCATATTTAAGCTACATTTTCTCCATGTTAATTGTAGCGAGATATGGGGAATGAGTGTTGTAGCTGTTTTATATCATGGGTAAAGTGCAGCATACCACAGATTGTGGTTTTGTTTAAAATCATTTTTGCACTGAAATGAGTGGTAGTCCAATAAGCTTAGTGCAGTTTGTTACCTTCAGATCCTGTACATGATATGTTAAAAAGATAGCACATGACATAATAACTTAAATGTAGGCAGGAAAGCAGTTGCTCTAAGGAGAGAGAAGAAAATCAGCTGCAATATATAGATCTTCTTTTTTTTTTTAATACTATTGTTTGATATGTTTTTTAAAACAGATTAGGCTGGAATAATAAGGTTTCTTATTGTAAATATATGTATAAAGTTAGAAATATGTTTGGGAAATATGCAGCAAGATGTAGGAAACATGATTTTTATTTATTTTTTCCTACACTAAACAGTTAGATGAAGTAGATTTTAGTGAAATTAAATCCAATTGAGTGAATCTGAATCCGGTATACACTTACACCCTTATTGATGGGCACGCCTATAGCCGTCCTGATGTAGTGACTTATGATGTGTATACGCGTCATGACGCACTCTAGCAAGCAAGCGGGTGGGCCAGCTGTACACAGCACATGCCCTGCCAGAAAGGCTAGACTGTTGTGTAATGATTACATAATGGAAAATTTTGGCCCATCATAGTAGGGTCAAAAGATATGAATGAATTTATATATCAACATATCTGTGAGTAGAGTCTGCTTCGTATACTTGTAGATATTTGTAGAATTATTGAATGCTAGTTAAACAGTATTAGATATTAATGAATAGGTAGAAAAGGGGGTAAACGATGGACATCTGAAAGCCACCTTTGGCAGAATTTGACAGGACTACATTGAAGCTATATATGTGCATCCCAAATTAGAGGAAGGAAGATATCAATATCTATGAAGAATGTAGATGTTATTAGGACGTTATCATGAGGAAGTGAATTTTATGTACATTTTTCTTACAGAATATTTTGCATTATATTTGAAAAGCTTATTATATATATATATATATATATATATATTATATTTATATATGTATATATATTATATAATATATATACATATATATATATGTATATATATGTATATTATATATATATGTATATATATATGTATATATATATAATATATATATATATATAGTATAGTATATATATATACATATATATATATACATATATATATAATACATATATAGTACATATATATAACATATATATATAATATACATATTCTATAATACATATTATATATATATATTATATATATAAATATATATATATAATATGTATATATGTATGTAATAGGTATGGATATATATGTATATATATATGTAGTAATAGTATATATAGTAATGTATACTGTATATGGATATATAAGTGTATATGCGATATGTATATGATATATATGATGTACAGTTATATATGTATGCTATAATTATATGTTATGTATATATATGATGCTATGATATAATATATATGTTATGATAGTATATATGGATATATATTAGTATAAATATGTAGTATATATGTGTATATAATATGTGGTAGTATATATATGAGGGTTATATATATGTGGACGATATATAGTGTGTATATGATATGTGTAGTTCATATATGGGTATTATATACTGTGTGTATATATATGTATATGATATATGTGAATATATATATGTAATATATATACTATATGTAGTATGTATCATGTATGTATATTGGCATATTATATATGTACATATATATATATGTATCATATTTGTCATGATCAATATGTATATGACTGTATACAAATTTTTATTATAATGCATCATATATAGTAGTATTATACTAAAAATCACGTCTAAATTAATTAATATAAACATATTATAATCTGATCCCATATGAAAGTGTATGAATAAAAAGACATTCTGAGTAAAATACTAGCAAAACTCAAGTGTTTCATCTCATCTTTAAAGTTCTGAATATGAGTACATAGTAATATAGTAATAATTTTATCTATCTTGTATTTAACTCCTCTGTATAAAGATATGTATACTTATCATTATATTTATCAGTTAATATTTGACATATTATTAGTATATATATAATTTATATGTTATATATATATAATGGTGAGAGTGGGTATTATATATATACTATATTATATATATATATATGTATAATATATATAGATATATGTATTATACTATATATATATGTATATTAATAATATATATTTATATATATATAATATTATTTATATATGTATATATAATATATATATATATATATAATGTATATATATGTATAATATATTATATGTTATATTAAGTATATATGTAGTATATATGATATATATATATAGATAGTATGTATATATATATGTATATATATATGCTATATATATATACTATCTATATACTATGATAATTACCACATATATTTAATGCACATATACTAATACTCATTATACCAAGTGACTACATTGGTTACTTAATATGTATATGAATGATTATTATATTTAATATTTATAGTAGGAAATAGAAGACAATATATAGAATTGCTATATGTATTGTTACTTAGTCTAATTTATCTTAATGCCCTTATATAAACTAAATCTATTATGTCATTTTATTCCACTCTACTTCATGCACAAATACATATGATTTTGCTAATCCTTTAGGGTATAATAATTCAAAGTTAATGAATGATAAAATTGTCGTATGAAAGCATGATTCATATAGTATCGCCTCATATTCTGAAAGAGGAAATGATATTGTTTTACCTCCTTATTCATGTGTTTGTTATGATATAAATATAGTATGAATTTATGTAATAGAATATATATTAAGAAATGTTACTAGCATAGAATAAATATATATATTACATAAAATGAGAAATAAAACATGATTAAATATATAGAATAGATAATAATATTTCAAAGTATAAATGAGAATAAATTTATTACAGTGGCTCTTACTAGTGTCAATATGTCTTAGCATATTTACATGTTGATCTGTACATGTTTATTGTGTTATATTGATTATTTTGATTATTGTATGTGACACTTGTATATCCTAATGTACGTCTTATTATATGAATGTACTTTTCCTTATATTGGAAGTAAAGGAATATTAAATTCATGAACTTAAATATAATATATTAATAATATCTCAGGTATGTATATACAACCATTTATATAAGATTGAAACCCTCTAAATAACATATTCTCTACAAATGGCAAATGTACAAGATTAAAATAATAATAAGATGAATATGAAAAAATCTAATAGCTTGAATATAATAAATACATAAATAAATGTAAATGGTTATTATATAATGATAGTATATGCATTGGTGTATAAATAATAATAAGATATATGTAATATAATGACTAATATATTATTTCATTTAATATGCTCAAACCTTTTAACATATAATATATTAAATAACAATAAATTAACACAAAAATCTAGTGTATATAAAAACATCAATATAATAAACAATAATTAAACCTAATCAACCAATAATAGGAAAATAATTACAACTCAAAATATATTTGTATGAATTACTCGTCTAAATATTTGTATTGTTCATATGTCCCATAAAAGTCATAGACTGGAATCATAAATGTAAGCTGAGTTATATGACCATAAGTAAAATTCCCTCATGATAATGTTAATGTATGTTATGTACCTGTAGTGGTTATTTGATGATTATGGATCCTATGTATCGTCAAGTAAGAATTGCTTACTGTATGTTATAAACAATATTTGCTAGGCTATTAGAAAAATGTAGAGAAAACTTTAAAACTTTGGAATCACCTTACGAGTGGAATATATTAAAAAAGGAAATACATCGTTTTAAAAGATAAAGAACATAAGTAGCCATATCACTCAATTAACACTGACAGCTATGAAGTACTCGCCAATTCTAATAGAGCCCATGGTTGACTGCTTACAGTTGTAACTGTATCACTGAATAGCAATGAACACTGGACTGTGAGCTCGTAAGTGAGCATTTGAATGTTTGAGACGAGTTAATATATGACTAATCATGATACTGTACATTACTTTATGCATTCTAGGTTTGTAACCTGAGTAGATTACTATAATCAATAATGGAGTGACTATGTTATTAATGACAGTTACTTCAAGTACTATAAGTTAACATTCACAGCATTGCACCACATTTTACACCACAGCAAACTTTAACTGAAGGAGTAGAAAGGGGACACATTTCGATCTCTACTAGGACACAGTGTGATGTGTCAGCGAGAATGAAGAGGGAAAAAAAAAGAAGGAAACCGTACGTATAGCACACATATTGTACACACTTACACATACACTTAAAACGACACACATGACATTTACAACATGCCAATCGATGCTGCCATGAATTCAGAACACTCGATTCACAGAGATCTAATGCCCCACTATTTGAGCGCACACCAAACTAACATCAAACACACAGCAACCACTACTCTACTCAACCCTACTCGTCTGATCAATCTAGGGTCTTCTGAAAATGCCGTTTGTTCCTATTCATAATTATTCTAATTACTCATTGACAAATAAATTGCATATTTCTCTGAATCTCTACACCACTGCTACTGACTAATTACAACCCTGCGAGTCCAAACATGCATCTTACTAGGAGGACTTCACTTCACCTCATTCAACTCGCTGGGAGGTGTTTGACTTCATCCTATGGGGGTGGGCTTTGGTGGTGGCTCAGCGTTCGTAGTCGGGCAACATGGAGCTGGCAGCCCTCTGCGCGCCAGAGTGACCCTACTATTGTACGCCCCGTGCCCCCCCAGTGAGACCACACTGTCTGACAGGTTGCCCATTCATGCATATTCCACACTGTGGTTCCCAGTGCTAGCAGGCGCACCTGCGCGGAGAAATGCAAGGAAGTTATGATAGTTGCACGAGGCTTGGATTGCGACCGTGGGGCTATAAAGTATGGGCAAGCTAGGCTTTCAGTATTTTATGCTCCGTACTAGGTTCCTTGAGCTACATCCAACGCCTATGTTATTTACTGTGTATTGATTTACTTTCTGTATTTTACACTTGCGTCAATTTGTATGCGACGAGCTCAAATCATGTACAATTATCTAATTTATCTGATTTTAATATTTGATATGGTCCTATGAGTCTGTTAAGACCATTTATCTGTACATATCATGTGTGTTTGACTTCTGTCTTTGTTTAGCAAAGAAAGTATGGAGTAAATTGTAGATACAATAGTTATAAATGAAGGTGTTTGTTTCAAATCCTGGAAGGTGTAAAGGTACATTACATCTTTGTGCTAATAAAGCTTTGTGAATGCTTCTTAGTTTGAAAATTTGTTATTTTTTCAAAAAATTGATTCTGAAAGAGTGAAGTGTTGTGGCTAGACATATTTTCTATAAGGGATGACATTAAGAGAGATCAAGAGTGTTTATTAAAAGAGAAGTTGTTGTTTTGACCTAATAGACAGTAGCATGCATAAGAATGGAAGATAAACAAGGATCTCAAAACTTAAGAAGTAGCTGTACAGAAAATTAAAAACAAGAGTGTATTTCCAGATATATCATCAAGGAACATAAATAAGAAATGATAGTATTTTTACAATTGCGTTCAAACAACGACGAGTAATTTCTTTAGTGTTATGGACTGCCAGTAATGTGTGAGAGAGAATAGGAGTGACTGTAAAAGCAGAGGCTTGATATTAATAACAAACAGAAAGAAATATATTGCTAGATAGTTTGGCATCAGTTCTCATCTCAGTTACAATGATCTATCACACTATAAAACAGATTTCAGGACCATTGCCAGAGCACAGTGTTTTATCTTAACATTTCAGTAGCATGGAATGTAATAATGGCATCTAAAAAGTGTTATGTTTTAGTGCCACCAAACTTAGACATCATTTGTCAAACGAAGGTTAGAAGCCCTAGCAAGAACGATTTATCAGATGTTATATAGATGAGAAATGCAAAAAGATTCAGAAACAACTTTCCCGCTCATCATTGATTGCGAAAAAATCTGAATTAGAGTAGTTTGTGAACTTGAATAGTGTGGTGTTATGTACTAGTGATTGCTCTAGTTATTTTTTTTTTTCCAAAACACTGTGATTACCACATAATTGTGACTAATAAAATCACGTTCTGGATCAGACTGAGTCTCTTATTTTTACTTGTCAGTTTTATGCTTCTTTGAAATTAAAATTCTTTGTCTTGATTGTACTTTGAAGAATTCTGAGTAATTTATCTTTATCAGTGCTTAATATAAACCTCTCAGAGATATGACAGTTAGAACTTATTTAAGTTACTTAGACATTTATAACTTTTATTAGTACCAAGACTGACATTTATTTAGTATATACCTTGGATGTTGTACGACGAAATTTCTACAAATACAATACTTTGAGAACAAAGCCATGGATTCCATCTACAGAAAGTATCAGAAGATTACATCTTGCATTAGACCCATTACTCGTTTCGTATCTTTTTCAATACCTCATAATGAAGAGTGCAATCAATGTTGTCGTACAAATCATTTCTAAGACTTATGATTTCAATTTATTGCACCCTGCTTCATAAACAGTTATTTTTGATCTAAATTGCTTTGATAATATTCAAAAACACTTATATTCTTAAATATATAATGGAGCTGTCTCACATTGACGCGTCTTTTACACTACTATACCTTATTTAAGAACAAATTGATTTCTAGCATTCAGATAGATGAGTAAAAACCCCAGAATCTATCTAAGGTTACCTAAAGCTAAACCATTTGTTTTATTTTTGTTATTATAAATAAATCACAATGAGCATCCCACGCAGAAAATATCTAGTTATGCTGCCGTGAGCTTATTATAGCGAAGGAACCAGAAAGAAATATTCCTAGTGAGCAATCCTGTGTTACAGCTGTTAGTTTGAGGTTGTATTTTTCATGATGTATTTGCTGAAGGTAACTTGAGTGCTATAAACACTCATATGCTGCAATATTACAATAGCCATCCTTTCCTGTGCTATGTTGTTTCCTAAATAAGATTTTAAGCGAACTTATTAGAGCCTCGAATGAGGTATCATCGTCACATCATTCTTATATAGATTAGTACTGCGGTTAGTTTCTACTAGACTTGTGTTTTAGTTCTTGATTTATCTTTAACTTTGATTTATCGCGTTGTGACTCTTATTGGTGTTTTGTCGTGCATATGGAGTTAATACATTTTCATTGTGTATTGTATTAGTATTGGCTGGTACTCAGTGACATGCTATCTTACATTATCATTTGTTCATAGAAACCGCCAATAGTTAAAAGTAAGCAAAACAAAAAGCTACGCCAGAATGTCTGAATATCCATATAAATCTAAGTTGGCCATGGCGTATATTTGTGAACAATTGGAAAAAAAAATAGACACTATCACATTAAGACTTCAATGTAAACATAGTATTTTGGCTACCCATAATGATAGCCACCAATAAGATTCCAAACCAAACAAGAAAGTAAAACAACAATCAAAAACAATCAAATAAAAACAAATAAGATACAAGTCTAAGGAAGGAAATCAGTCTATGTTAAAGTCAGCTTTATTTGATACTGAATATTCTACATAAGTATTAATTGAGGTGCTGTTCTTATTATAATTTTTAAAAGATGTGAAAGGGAGTGCACTAATTATTGTCTAGTTTGATGCTGCAGCCATGATTTGGAATTGAAAGAAATTTTGACATAATAATTGAGAAGCAAGATTTCCACCTGGCTTCCATAGATTGGATGTGGTCCAGATATATTTTTTTGTGTATTGGAAAGGAAGAATTACAGTCTTCGTTAATAGTGAAAGAAGAAAGGCTGCAATTTGCAAGATGTTTGTGAAAGTTATTTGAAAGGGGCATAGAATGTTTCAGCACTGTTCTTTTCTTTTTATATGTGATTTTGGTGACTGTGATGTTTTTTATTTGTTTAGTGATTTCATATAAATGTATTTGTTTACTTTAACTTTGACACTGTTGGTTATTTATTTTTGTTTGCATCTCATTTTATAATTGTTAAAGAAACATTTCATACTTTCATGATCATCTTTTGAAGCACAGAAGTGTATGTACTATCCTATCAAAGTAAGTGATATTAACTGCTCACAGGAGTTCGGCAAATGCTGGGAAGCATTCGTCGAAACTCTGCATATAGCAAGAGCTTCCCCATACCCCATGGAAAGTTGAACAACAATTACAGCCAGCAGTGCTGCGAATCTTGTGAGACATCAGATAGGTGTGTTGTGTGGTGTGTGTAATGTGTTCTTGACAGTGCTTTCACAGTGTTTGTGCATGATGGTATATGGTGATTGGACAGTTTGATTCCAGCACATGTTTTGCTCTTTTTTTTCCCTCTCTTTGACATTATGACAAACCCCTTTCCTTCAGTTAATTCTGAAATGTACATTACTACTAAATGAACCTTCTTTCATGGTAACCACTTAGTGTGACAGTAATTATAATTGATTCTTCAGCCCGTTTTCTACACAGTAACACCATGGTATGCTGTGTATGTCTTACTACAAAAACTCCTTCAGATCTTTTACTGTGGAAATGTAAACAAGTTCTTTGGAGGTCATCATACAAGGAAATATTTCAGGATTTTTGTTACAGTTTTTTCCAGTTTTGTTATGGGCCCATAGAAAAATATTGGGTTTATTTGTGTGATTTTCTTTTTGGTGATTGGTTTATTTGTTTTTGTGTTTTAACAGTTTTGTGTTTGTTATTTTTGTAAGGTTTTGGTTATGAAATGTTTTCTTTTTACCCAATGCCTTAAAACCATTTTTTTGTTTTTATTTCAGTGATTTTTCTTTCTTTTTATCTGTACATTGCTGAGAGATGTATCTGAGAGGTTTATTAACATGGTGTTACACTGATTTAATATCATTTAAGTTCATGAATTATATTTCTATACTCCAAAGGAAAAGTAGATTCACATACGTACATGGATACATGCATACAAACAAACATACATACATGCAGATGCACACTGATAAATGCTAAGACATATGTGCACAGAAAGGCCACTAAATTTCTCATTTACTTTGAATTTTTCTTTTTTTTTATGTTTTATTCTTTTTTAATGTATTTATTTTTTTGCTAGAACATCTATATTCTCATTCATTTTTACCAAACACATGAAAGAGGAAACCAACCTTCCTCTTTGATGAGCTGTACTAGAATCATGCATTCACGACAATTTTATCATTTACTTGATTAACCCCTAAAGGATTGCAAAATTTGTTTGTGCATTGAAGAGGGTGGAAAAATGAGATAAAAGTTTGTTATAAGGGAGTAGGAAAATTGACAGGTAAAGCAACTCTTTTGTCTTCTTTTGCCCTATATATAATATACAATATAACAGTACCGTGCCCTTGGTAATGGTCGTGTGTAATTGTGGTAATTACTGTATATCATTCTTTAAGGGTTAAGAAATTATCTTTATTGCATATTCAGACTTCAAAGGAGACACTTGAGTTTGCTAGTTTTTGGACTGTCTTTTCAACACTTCATGTGAATTAATATGTTTATTTTGCTGATTTTTAGTTAATACCAAAATTGATACAATACAATGACATGCACACTGTAATGAAAGGAAGTGTCACAGTAATGAAAGGAAATTGTTCATTGTTTCCTGACTGGGACTGCATTTCCTTTTTCCAGTATTATCCATTATTTATTTTGTATTTATTTATTTAGTTAGGTTTTGTTAAGTTCCATTTTTTCTGATCTTTCCTGATATACTTTTCTCACATTCTTTTATCTTGACAGTCATTTTATTATAAATTTTGTTATTGCCAAGTCATTACATAACTATATGATGAGTGTCTTTACCTAACATAAAATACATCACTGTTAATAGTAACTCAGTGTAAAGGGAACAATGTCTACTTCAGTAATACCAGATTTTGCATGAGTTAGAGACTAGAATATATATATGTATTAAAGATGAAGTGAGATGCTATTATTGCATGTATGATTATAATAGATAATTATTCCCACTAAACTTGTTCTCAATGACAGTTCTAATAACTCATGAACAATTGAATGTGCAACTTTCTAGTCTGTCTTACCTCCTATCACACATTTCGTAGCTAATAGATTTTTAGAAAGTTGTTACTGTCAAGTGAATGTTTATCAAAGACAGCACTAAAAGTCTTGAAGTAGTCGTTCTCTCTGTATGTTGAGAATAGATAATAGATTATTGTAATTACCGAAATTGCCATTGCAGATATACATTCTATGCTGCAAATGTCAACATGTAAAGGTAGAGCTCAAGACGTCACTTGAATTCCGTCCTTTGTCTTTAGAAATGTGACCTTCAAGCTTTTCTTATTGGGTAATGGCTTAGCAATTGTCTGTTCATGTGCTATTTTTACTTTTATGTTTAGCCAACAGACATTTTTTTTTTTTCTTCATCGCAATATTGTAGGAGCTCTCGGATTCTTTTTTGGGTTGCGTTGCTGAAACATCACTTTTCTCCTTTTGAAACTTGCTTCAACACCGGAAAAGACATGCACACAAAAGCTCGTGTCCCTTTTTGGTTTTGTTATTTTTATTACTGTTATTGTTAATTATTGTTATTATCTTAGTGATTATTATTATTGATAATATCATCATTTTTATTATTATTATTATTAGTATGATCATTGCCATTGTTATTATTATTGTTGTTTTTATAATTATTGTTTTCATTATCATCATACTTGTTATTATTATCATTTTCATTATTATCTTAGTTATTATTATTGTCATAATTTATTTTTAATTATTGTTATTATTTATTAATTATTATTATATTAATTATTATATTATTTAATAATAATTAATTGTTATTATTATTATTTTATTATTTATTATTATTTATTATTATTATTATTATATTATTAATTATTGTATATATTTATTATTATATTATTATTACTATTATTGTTGTTATATAATTTTATTATTTTTATTATTGTTATTATATTATTATTATTTTGTTATTTTTTGTTTTTGTTATTTTTATTATGTCATTGTTATCATTGTTATTATTATTATTGTCATTGTCATTTTTATTATTATTGTTGTTACTATTATTATGGTTATTAGTACTGTTTAGGATGAATCAGTATACCATGGGTTTCACTGAGCTTTAAGCAGTCTGAATATGATCTGTAAAGCAGCTATTCATGCCTTATTGTAGCAGATTTTTAAACCGTATTTCTAAAATTTGATCAGAGCTAATTTTCACCTTGTCCTTTGCTCAGGTGTCCTCCTGATGGACCACATAAGCAGCAATGATGATGGGACCGGTTCGTCTCCCCGCGGCAACAAGAAGCTCTCCTTCAAGACCCCTCGCAAGGTGTCCTCAGCGGTGACCTCATCCGGAGCGGCCGCTGCTGCCACCACGCCCCCTGAGAGCCCCATGCCCCCACCCAGGAGACCCAAGGATGGAATGCATCATGTTAATCTCAAGAAATAGAGTGTGCTTTTTTTTTTATCTTCTGTGAAGGTAGTTTTTGATCGTTTTCTTTTCCTTTTCTCGTTGTCTTTGTCTTGGTCGTCATTTCCCGTTGTTTTTTTTATTATTCTTTGCTGCAGGTGTTATAGAGAGCACTCTTTTTTACACAGTAGCAAGTTGATTGAAATTCATTGGTCGTCGTCACTCTCGTATGTTTTAAGTTCTGAATGCCAAAGGGAAATAATTAAACATGGTGGCGATGATGAATTTATTGTTAATGACCACATTTAGAAAATTAATGTGATTTCAAAATGCAAAAAGTGACCAAGTATGACAAATTGCAGGTTATTGCTCAGTGGAAGTCTGTCTGTGCTTACAAATAATTTCATACAACTGCAAGCAATTCTTTCGCCTCAAGTCTTGTGAGATGTTTCACATATGAAGACTTGTAAAAGGGAAAAAAAATGTATATGCTGGTGAAGTGACTGATGTATAAACATTCTTATAATATTATGGATAATATTTACTTTGACAGAATATTCTGAATTATTCTCTACCTAGTTAGCTTAAGATAACTGATGCATCTAATTTATTATGTATGTACTATGGCAGTACATTGCTGAAACCTATATGGAAAGGGTAAAGGAGAGCAGGAAGTTACAAATGTTAATAGCAAGCAAAATTATTTTGTCTCGCTGTGACTCGCAAGATTCTCTGTGGTTTGATGCTGAAATGCTAATATTCGTGGCATACACATGTGATTGTGAGTTTTCTTTGTGTTTTTGAATAGAGGAAGGGAGGATAGATAATCTTTATTTCTTTCAATTAACATTCTTTTCTTTGTCTTGAGCTGATTTAAGATGATCCAGCATGAGGAGTCCCGAGTTCTGATATAGATTTTTTTTCTTTCCTATTTTATTATAGTTTCTTAGTTTGAATTATACTGCTGTGGATTAAAAAATGTTGACTGCATGGTGTGCAGATAAAAGTAACCATGACTTGAGATGTATAATTACAATTTTTTTAAAAAGGAAATTTGTAAACAGTGTCAAATATTATATTTGAGGCTGTGGAAAAGGAAATGATATTTCCAGTTTCTTTGTAAGGTTTTGGGTTGGACAGAATATTAAAGGTCTCTGTATACCACGAGGATTACCATTTCACACAAACTTACTAAATGCCAAAAAAGAGAAAAGAGAAGTATCTAAGAAGGTCACATATATGCTAATGGAATATTTAAAACCTAAACTTGACAGTAGGTGGACTTCTTGGTACCAGGGAAGGGAAAGGAGGATTGTTGCTGAAGTAGCTGTGTTTGTAGTAGGTATGAAGGGGGTTTAAACATGGGTTCTGCAATTACCAAGGGATTTGAAGAAAAAATAGAGCTTTTAATTGCGTTTCCCCTCTTGGTCACATGCAAGAAGCACAAGCTCTGTGAATATAGAATGCCTTATTTTTACACAGTGAAGGTAATATAGGTAAAACAAACAAAAAAAGGAATTTGTAATTAGAAGGGGCTTTCAAATAGATTATCTTGAGTTTGATATTGCTGACCAAAGCTTTAGTTCTGCATGGCTATGAGGAATACATGATTGGTTCTTAACCTGATTATCTAAACACTTGGAATATGTTTTTTATATGATTGATATGAATATTCATGAATATTTTTTTCATTTTTTTTGCTACAGACTTTGTACTGTGATAAATGTATTCCTATATTGCTGTGCTGGAAAACTGAAGAAAGCAATCTGTTGCATTTAACATGCATACTCTGAGTGTTAGTGATTTTCCAGACTGAAGTCATTTGGTCTGTCCAGAGAGAGGTTTTCAAGCTGTAACCCATGTGATGAGTCTGCTTCAGTTGTTCTTGATAATGACTGTTGTATACCATGCATTGTTGGCTCAAGAACATGCACCCATGCACTCACACAAACACATACGCAGACTCAGACAAATGCAAATAGACACACAAATAGACACTTGCATGCAGACACACACATGCACAGGCACACACAGGAACAGACAGACAAGTGGACATAGTAACTCACTCATGTTATGCTATAAGAGGTTTGTGATGAAACAAGAATTTCTCTACATTTGATTACTATTTATATGAAATTGATATCAAATGCACTAGCAAGAGTAACTGTAAACTATGGTTATTAATTGTTTTTGAATGCAAAAAGAGATTATATATATATTTTTCATCATTGGTGTTCTGTATGTACATTTTATTGATAGTTAGGAAAAAGGATTCCTGTGTAGCATGCCAAACTAAGGTGCAAAAAGTGTTAGATATTAATGATGATATCTATGGACCTGACGGAGCACGAATCATATCTGTTAAGGCTTGGGACTGTGAATAGCAAATTATTAGTCAGGTAGAAAATCATGCCAATTCTTGCACATTATAAGATAACAGGAATAGATGTTCACGGATATAGATAAGTGGAGATGAAAGTCTGATTGCAGGAAAGTACTATATATTATTAATGTGGATGAAAGTATTCCTGTAACCAGATGATTAAGATTACATTTCAATTTACTCTCAGCTTTCACAGTGAATTTATGGATGCTCACTGTCTTCTCTTCATCTTCGTGAGATGAAATGTGATGCCTTACACATCATTTCTTCCATGCATAACTTGTATAGAATTTTATTTATGAATATACAGTGTAAACAGACAACAGCAGTGTTCATTATGGAAAACTTAATAGTAAATGTTTCAAGTGGTTTGGAACCTGTCCACCTCTTTTGAGTATCGTTGTTAGTATTCAAATAAAAAAAGAAATCTTGGCATGTGTTGTGAAAGGCTAACTAACACTCTTAAGGATATACTTTTGTTTATGATTTAGTGGTCCTTCTACTGCTATACTACTACTGCTACTGTTCAGTCTTGCAAGATTGAAGATATAAACACAACCAAAGATTTGTTGTCATTTAAGGAACACAGATCTGCTCCAAGTAAATGTTTTGATTGTTTTGGGAGAAATTGCTTGCTTTGTAAGATTTGCTTTGTGTCCAAGGGTTTGTGTATGTAAGTTGAATAATTATGAATACAGCAATTTACTCTTGCCTTTAGCATTGATTAGTAAATTTTTGTACTTAGGGAATGCCAACATTTTTTTTCTTGTGATGTATCTGTAGAGGATTGCAGTATAAGTTGTATATTGTTCATAACCACCGGCTTTTGTGGATTACTGAGAAGCACAAAACTACAATTTTCTGATCCCCTGTGCTGTCAAATTCCAGTGAAAGATATTTGCAATTAGTGTGTTACCACCTGTGACAGAGTTCCTAGTTGTGTGGTGTACTAGAAAGAGGTTTGCCAGTGACAAGGAGTGGAAACTTTAACTTGGCACTTGATGTATCCGTGATCATGGAGAATTTGGTTTTAGTACACCACCAGCCTAGTGGTTCTGTAGTGGTCCTGTTAAGGCTGTTGAGGCCAGTTTCGTTTGCTGTTAATCATTGATTTAGCAGGATCAGTAAATATAACATTTAGGTTATTATATAAGGAGTACTTAATTTATCAACTATGTAAAAATTTATTTAAGCCCTTTTTTTTTTTTTTGCTTTAGGAATGTTGATAACTGTAGTTCAAATAATACTTCCAGTCTTCGTATTGGTTCCAGCTTCTGAGATCATCGTACTTTACACACCAATCATCACAAGAATCAAAAGATACCTGAATTACATGTATGAGTGATGGTTAAAGCCTCTTGAATTATTTTATAGTTATCTGTTGTTGTTTTCTTTCATATTAATCTCTTTTCTTGATGTATATACGTACTTACCTCTGAAATCACTTACGTATTTTAAGAAATGAATCGATGGTTGTTAGATGGATGTTTTTCTGTAGGTTTATTTTTATTTATCCTTTTTTTTTCTTCTTTTTAGAAATTTATATATATATATTTTAAGTAATTAGTTCTGATTAATTTAACCTTCTTATGATATAGAATCGTGAATCTTCTGTCAGGCTTAAAAGTTTGTTTTGCTTGTCAAAATTTTTTTTTGGTTTAAAGAATACTGTCTTTTGATTATATTATTTTTTTCATCATATTTTTTATGTGATTTATTGGGACAATCCCTTTGGACAAATCCTGATAATTGTTTTCTTTCGTAATTCTCAATATGAGACCCATTTTCGCTACAGTGGATTCCAATTATATAGATAGATATTTTCAGCTTTAAGTTTCTGGTTTTAGAAGGAGATTTTAGTGTAATTTAATGTGATTGCTCCTGTAAGTATTTCTACCTGTGTTTATGATCTATTTTTTTATATTTGATTTTTTTAGTGTGAAATATTTGCATGCTGTGGCATAAATAGCACAAAACATTACATTTGTGTCAGCAGTTTGAGTAATTTATTTTATTATTGTCTCTTCTGTGGTTGTATTTTGATTTTTGTCTTTATTTTATTTTTTTACTCTTCCTTTATGTTAATTAGGTGTTTAAAAGGAAACTTGATAGAAATCTTGTATATCTTCAATACTCTGTGATACTATTCCTTCCTCAGATTAAAAAAAAAGCAAAAACAAAAAAAGACGTGTTTAGAGCTACGACTAGTAAAAAAAAATGAATCCTTAAAAAAAGAAGAGAGAGAAAAAAGAAAACATTTCCTAATTTTCTTTCTTCTATACAGAAAAGAGAACTTGTGGGAGTTTTTTCTTTTCTTTCTTTTTTTCTTTTAATAGGGGACCAGATTCTGCTGTGTTGTGTCTTGTGTGTGAAACGACTCTAAGAAGAAAGTGGATTTCTCTTGACTTTGTAGCTTCCACCAGAGCAGCAAAGACTGATTTGTTTACTTTTTCAGAAAGGGAACCGTTTGGATTTAAGAGGTGGCATGCATTAATTCTTTATTTATATATATATTTTTTACTTGTTTTAGTGATTTTGGAAGTGATACATAGAATAACAGTTATGTAGTAAATTTGAATATCAAAATCTGTGAAGGCCCCGACTTCCTTAGCAGTATTATACACAAAGACTGAACAGCAGTTTAGCGTTACTTTTCAGATACTGGTCATTATGTTGCCAATAACAGCTTCAGAGTGTAAAGACTGGCATAGGGCTTAGTGCTTATGCAATATCTATCCATTTTGCCTAGCTGTTCTTGCAGTATATTCAGCATTTTCTTCTGACTGCGGTGGATGTTATTATCATTTGATGATGCATTTGAAATTTGCCCACTGTGATTAATTACCTATGTAAGTAATATATATTTTTTTGGTATCAAGATTTTGCATACAGTAACTATGTTGAAGCTTACCTTATATATTTCTTCTCAGAAGGATGTTTTGTGTTATATGAATAGAAGGAAAATTGCTAATGTAAGGTTGATGTGGAGTGTGGGTGACATTGAGAAGGAAAATGAGTATGTTAGAAAGTCAAAATTTCTCCCTGACTGCCTGTATATTGGACATCAAGGACGTTTGAAATATGAACTTACATTGTTTAAGATACAATGATTGTGATTTGTTTAAGGTTCGTGAAGAGGAGTAATCATGTTTGTGTTGAGCTTGGCAAGTTGAATGTGTGGCTGATTATATTTATTGAGAATTTTTAGTAAAACTTTTTTTTTCATTATTGTTGACAGAAATTGTTGATGTATATTTTATATTTCTATGTCATTAATTACATTAATTAGAACCCCACTTGACCCAGAAAAAATGCTGAATATTTTACCAGAAATCACAAACCATTCCATCTTCCCTATGCTACCTTGTACATGTTGTACATAGGAGTTTCTGTACATCTTAACTATTATGTATATACATATATAAGAATAAAATTATAGTTCTAGCTGTGCTTTAAATGGTACCTTTTGTATGATACAAACTTTAGAATCAAAGTGATGGTTTATAAATAGTTGAAAATCAGATCAAAATGTTTGAAAATCAATAAAATGGAAAATCAAATTGAAAATCAATAATATGGAAAATCAAAGTGATGGTTTATAAATAGTTGAAAATCAGATCAAAATGTTTGAAAATCAATAATATTTACTTGCTGAAACACCTCAATTTAATTTAATCCATTTAAGTGACATGAGTCTCATATTTCACAACTGGGCTGAAACACTACGGGAAGCTGCAAACAAGTGAATTTTGAGGACTAAAAAGAGGAAAAATGCATCACATCCGACGAGAATGCTTGAGAAACGCCTATTGGATTTTCACAAGGCACTAACTTCAATAGTGCAAATAAATGTGCAAATGTGTAATGATCACTAAACAGCATGAAAATGATCACTAAACAGCATGAAAATGATCACTAAACAGCATGAAAATGATCACTAAACAGCATGAAAGATTGCCACGATAATAAATGTTCTGACAGGCAATGGTAAATAGAGGAAGCAAAGTAATGGCTGAAGGAAAAGATGGAAAAGTTGAAAGAGAAAGAAAGAAAAGAAGAAAAGCAAGGGAATGAGAGAGATAAAAAACAGAGGAAAAAAAGTTCATATCCTTTCACGTCAATTCGTTTCCACTTTATTTGCTTATTGCAGCCTTGGGCACCGTGACTGTCTAAACATTCTTAGCCCGCCGAGGTCATCGCTTTCCTGTTTGAGAGTCCATCAAAATTCTTAGCCGAGTCCGAGGTCAATGCGTGTGTTGCGACGCGTGAAGCTTCCTCTCGGTTGCCATGGAAACCGGGCGTTCGCGGCTCGAAAATTACGTGCAGGCAAATTCCAAGGGAAAGGGGTCGCTGGCGTAAAAGAATAATAGTGATGGATTTGGAATAAAAGGAGGGATAAAGAATAACGGATTGAATATTAAAATATTTGATGAACGGGAAAGAGATTTTTTATGGCATATTTACGAAAATAAGAGAAGCATTTATTCACACAATTGTAAGTATTAGCATATTTTTTTTAAGACAAAGGGCTATTCGCATCATGTATCCCTCATATACATCTCATTAAACCTCTACAATAAAAACAACAACACTGATAACGGTAGCGTGAATAAATAAAGAACACAAATTATTCACACTACATTACGGTAACATAAAGGGATACATGAATAAAGAATATTTTCAAAACAATAATATTTCCGGGAACATCTTTAAAACAGAGCTTCCCTTGCTATATAAAGTAAGTTGTCAAAGAGGTGACATACCCATTTCTATTTATAAAGCTGCGGATCTCTATTACGTTTCACCTTTTCTATTCCTTGACTATAGTTGCTTAATTCATGAGCCGTTTACGTCAAAATCTTTACGTTAAAATGCGTTTTCCTTTTTCTTCCTTCCACCTCCTCCTCCCTCTTCTTTTCTTTTCCTCTTCTCTTTCCTCTCTTCTTTCTCCCCTCTTCCTCCTTCTCTTTATTTCCTCCCCTTCCTCCTCATTTCCCTCCTTTTTCTCCTCCCTTCTCCAATTCCTTGGCCTCCTCTTCCTCACCTCCCTCTCTTCCCCTCCTTCCTCTCCTTCTCTTCTCCCTCCCTTCCCCCTTTTCCTCCTCCACTTTATATCCTCCCCTCTTCATCTCCTCCACCTCCTCTTCACCTCCCTATTCCTCCTCCTCCTCCCTCTTCATCTTCCTCTCCTTCTCCTTCCTTCTCCTCTCCCCTCCCTCTCCCACCTCCTCCTTTTCCTCCTCCTCCTCCTCCTCCCTCCTCCTATTCCTTCCTCTCCCCTCCTCCCCTCCCCTCCCCCCCCTCCCCTCCCCCTCACACACACTTTGCCGATAAAAGCAAAATTTTGCAAAGTCATCATACGCTTCATCGTTTACAATTAACTTTAATTTTCTCTTCCTCGGCGCCTTTAATCCCCGCTCGTTCGGCGACGCTGTACAAAGTGTACTTAATTATCAGGCCAAGGAGACGGGGGAGGAGGGGGAGGAGGAGAGGGGAGGGGGGAGGGGGAGGGGAGGGAGGGGAGGGAGGGGAGGGGGAGGGGAGGAGGGAGGGAGGGGAGGGAGGGGGGGAGGGGAGGAGGAAGGGGAAGGGAAGGGAAGGGGAGGAGGGAGGGAGGGAGGGAGGGAGAGGGGGAAGGGAAGGAGGGAAAGGGAGGAGGTGGGATGGGAAAGGTGGGGAGGGGGATGCAGGAGGGAGGTAAGGAGGGGGGGGAAGGGAGTTAGGGAAGGGGAGAAGGTGGGATGGAAAAGGGGGGGGGGAGGGAGGGAGGGAGGGAGGGAGGGAGGGAGGAGGGAGGAGGGAGGGAGGGAAGGGAAGGCAGGGAAGGAATTGAGAGGGAAGAGAGGAAGGAGGGGATACAAAGGGGGGAGGGAAGAGGTTGAAGGAAGGAGGGGATACAGAGAAGGGAGGGAGGGAGGAGGATGGATGGAAGGGGGAGAGAGTGGAGGGAAAGCAGGGAGGGAAGCGAGAAAGAGAAGAGAAGAGAGTAAAAGAAGATGGGAATGATGGAGAATGGGAGGAAAGGAGAGGGATAGAGGTGGAAAGAGGAGAAAGGAGTAAGGGAGGGAAGTAATGAAAGGAAGAAAATAAATAAGGGAGAGGACGTGGAAAGAAAGAAGCCAAAGATATATAAAAAGGGAAGAAAGAAAGAAAAAAAACGAAGAAAAATGAATAGCAAGGAGATAAAAAAGAAAAAGACAAGAAAAAAATGAGAGACCGTAAGAAAACACAAAAGAAAACCAACTTTATGCATTATGACACGAACCCATAAACAAAACATCTAAAAAGGGAGAGAGAGAGAGAGAGAGAGAGAGAGAGAGAGAGAGAGAGAGAGAGAGAGAGAGAGAGAGAGAGAGAGAGAGAGAGAGAGAGAGAGAGAGAGAGAGAGAGAGGGGGGGGGGGGGGGGGATAATGATTAATTTAATTCAATAACAATTAACTTAATAAACAAACGACGTAAGAACATAATAACGACTTAAAAACGTAATAATTCTCGAAATAATATATATCACTCATTTACCAGCCTCAGGCCTCGTTAAATCTTGCAGTGGATAATTTGTATTATATTGTAGTGAATTATGAACGTCGCATATGAAAAAAAGTGAGTGAAGAACAGGAAGATAAGTGTATTCATTGTCTTGATATCATGTCTAGATGGAAATAATAGCTATCAATACTCTAGATCAACAGGTTTATTGTACTTATATCACGCATTTTTATTTCGTCTTAAAATATTCACTGTATCGATATCAAAATACCTACTCCATCTTCACTCCGCCAGGAATAAAATACCAATTTTACCCAAATCACCAATAAGTCAAACCACCAATTGCACTAACTGCCTTCATTAAAATTCCCAACCGTATCGAAATCGTGTCAATAACATGACATAGACGAACGACAGGAGAGAATGTCATCTCTCTTCTTCTCCTCAATAATCCTACAATTCAAATCTACTTTTCTCAGTCACTCTTATTATTATCATTTTTCTCAGTCACTCATATTATTATTATTTTTGTACAGGTAAGGTACGCCATCCCTCCCATGAACGCCCGCAACCATCCTTG